GCTTACAGGACTCAGCATGGGGTGACCCCTTTCTAGCTCTCAGGCTTAATCTTGCACCCTGAGTGTCTCTTCTACCACTACATCCTTGACCTTGGGGTTTCCTCTGCATGAAATGTCCTCCCCTTCAACCATTAACTCATACTCAGCTTTCACATTGCAGTTCAACCACCACCTGCTCTGGGAAGCCCTCCCTGACCTCAATGAAAAAGACCTTAGAATAGGTCCTTCTAGTACCACATCACCCACCTTTTCAGCACTAGTCACAGTTGTAACTGCACTTTCATTTGTGGTGATTTGATGATGATTGGGCTCCCCTGCTAGACTGCAAGCTAGCTGAGGGCAGAGGCTGTGCTTTTGTTTTGCTCTCTGTACCACCCCCAAATCCCAACCCTTTACATTCCTTTTTTTTCCTTAAATGTGGAGTTGACTCAGTGACTCACTTCTAACAAATAAAATGTAGTAAATGTGATGTTATGTGATTCCTGAGACTAGGTTGTAAAGTATACCGTTTCCATCTGACTGTCTCCCTCTTGCATTGCTCACTCTGGGGAATACACCCACCATTTTGTGATGACACTCAAGCAACATTTGGAGAGCCTTGAGGTGCTAACCAAAAGGTAGGTGGTTAGAACCTGCCAGCTACTCCATAGGAGGAAGATGAGATAATCTACTTCCCTAAAGATTTACAGCCTTGAAAGACTGTGAAGGTCACTGTGGGTTGGAATTGACTCAATGGCAGTGGGTTTGGTTTTTTTTTTTTTTTGGTTACATGGGGAGGAACTAAGGTTTCCCAACAATAGCCAGTAACTACTTGTCCACCATGTGAATGAATGACCTAGGAAGAAGATCCATTAGCCCCAGTGTGGTCTTCAGATGATTGTACCCAAGTATCTTTACTGTAACCTCATGAGGGACCTTGAACCAGAACCATCCAGTTAAGTCACTCCCGAATTCCTGATCCATAAAAACACACTGAGATAATAAATGCTTATTGTTATTTTAAGCCATTGGGTTTTGGAATGATTTGTAATCCATTGATAGATATGCCTGACAGGCAGTAGATGTTCAGTAGCTATTTGTTGTGTATTGTTTTTGTTATGTGCTGTTGAGTGGTTTCCAAGTCACAGAGACCCAAGTAGCAGAGTAGAACTGCCCCACAGGGTTTTCTAGGCTATAATATTTATGGGAGCAAATTTCCAGGTCTTTCCCCTGAAGAGTTGCTGTTGGGTTTGAACCACCAACATTTCAGTTAGCAGCTGAGCACTTAACTGTTGTACTACCAGGGCTCTATTTGTTGCGTACCTGGATGAATAATATAAAGCCTAAATAGAATCTAATTTATAGGCAATTCTTTATCTCCTCTCTTCTGCCCACTTAGGCTTCTCCTAGCTCTGACAGTCTGGGGTCCTATGATTGTAACAGATGCTGTCAATGTTCTGTTTGTGTCCCTCAGACCGAGGTAAACTTCCTAGGTTAGGTCAACTTCCTACTGCCAGAATCTGTATTTCTGAGCCAAAGCCAGGAAGTGCCAGAGAAGTAGTGTCACTTCTCCTCTCCCTCACCAGCTCTCAACCAGTGACTAATATTGTCATTGAATTGTCTCGACTCATAGTGACCCCTCCTTGGGTTTCCGAGGCAGTATCTCTGTGGAAGTAGATTGCCCAGTCTTCCTTCTGAGGAGTAGCTGGTGGGTTTGAACCACCAGCCTTCTGGTTAGCAGTCAAATGCCTTAGGCACTTCATCACCAGAGCTCCTAGGGAGTATAAATACCCCAACTCCCTTGCCTCCCAAGTGGGCTATCTCTGTGAAGTGTATTTACTCCATTCCAAAAGGGATCTAAGCTTCATCTGACCACAGAGGTCACTGACTGGCTTAACAGCATACTCTGTATTGGTTGCCTTCCTTTCTTGTATAATTACACTACTTCCTGCTGATATTCCTTGCACTTTTGGAATGAATGAAAAAAAACAGTTCCAGTCCAGTCAATTTTGCCTCATGGAAACCCCACATGTGTCAGAGTAGAACAGTGCTTCAAAGATGTATTTCCAAAATGGTCATTTTTCTTCAAAAGGCAACTCTGGATGAACTTGAACTTCCAACTTTTCAGTTAGCAGCTGAGTGCATTAACCATTTGCACTACCCAGGAACTCTCCAAATAAACTACAGATCCTTTCCTTAGGGTTTGTTTTTTTGGGGACCCACAGTAATATAACATTTTATAGCAAACAGGGGCCATGACTTATACTTCCTTGACTTGCCATAGGGCTTAACATTGAGCTGGGTTCTTAATTCTAGAACCAGCCTCCAGGTGCCTCAAGCCCTAAAGGAATATCCCATCAAGTTAGATTGTAGTTCTGGTGACAGACAGAGAGAGGGGGCCAGTGGAAGGAGACCAAGCACATGTATCCTGGGAGAAGCAGAATCTTCTAGCTCCATGTCCTTCTGCCCTGCTCCTGTCTGTTCTGATGGAAGCTGTTGGATCTCAGAGCCAGAGGTGCTAATCACAAGGCAATGAGCTAAGTTATAGTTCTTGGCCACACCCTCAGCCAGGACTTCCTCTCCCACTGCACAGAGCAGAGCAGCTGTCATGGTTCCTGGCAGTGTTGGGGAGGATGAGAAGAGTGAGGGAAGGAGAGAGAGCAGTGGGAGAAAGAGAAGAGGAAGAAGAGGGGGACTGAGAAGAGAAAGAGGAAGAAGAAAAGGAGAAGGCATAAAGAAATAAGGGAGGGGAGGAGGAGGGCAAGAAGGAGGAGGAGAGAGAGAGGGAAAGAGGTGGCTGTGGCTTCTGAAGAGCAAAGAGACAGTGGCATTTAAAGGGCAAGAAAGGCTTGGAACTGAGGAAAGCTCCTTGTGCTTTGAGGGTAGAGCCTGAGGGGCAGGAAGGGTATGAAGGGGGAAGAGCCTCAGGTTCATGAACAGGGCCAATCTGTGAACGATGTGTAGTACCATGAGCTCATATTATAGGGCAGAGATTGGTAAACTAAGACCTGTGGGCCAAATGTGGCCCACTGCCTGTTTTTGCAAACAGAGTATTATTGGAACACAGCCACGCACAATCATCTTCATGTTGTCTATAGCGACTTTCAAGCTGGGACTGCAGAGCTGAGTAGTTGTGAGAGAGATCATCGTATGGCCCACAAAGTGAAAATATTTACCATCTGGACTCTTACAGAAAAATGTTGCCAAACCCTGCTATAGAATGTTCCTCAAATTCAAACAGCTCCACCAGACCTGTGGCCAGCTCTATCAGACAGAGTGGGCAGAGGTCAGCACTGCTATAAGGTGTATTCTCCTCGCTGCTGGCCCCACCCCTGCTCCAGGTGGACAGACCCTATGCTTGGTTTTATTCACTGATATTGGTTTACTCAGCAGGGGTGGTCCCTTCCTTGACATCTCCCTCTCCCCTTCTCCCTGGGGACCATGGTTTCCCTGCAGCAGGTCATTGGGAAAGGTGCATGGCTGCTCTCGACCTTCCCAGGGTCTGAGCCTTTAGTATAAACAGGCTTCCTCTAGACTGGGTCTCCCTTGAGCTTGTAGGGTCTTTGGCTACAGGGCATTTTCTCTCTCAGGAGAAAAAGGAGCTGTGGTGGTGGGGTGGTTAAGACATTTGGCTGTTAACCAACAGGTCAAAAGGTTGGTGGTTCAAACTCACTAGGTGCTCTATGGAAAAAAGATGAGACAGTCTTCTTCCATAAAGATTTACAGCCTTGGAAACCCAATGGGACTCTCAATGAGTCAGGATTGACTTGATGGCAGTGAGTTTGGTGTTGGGTTTTGTCAGAGCTGGAAAGGACCACAGGGGCACTCTAGTTCTGCCCTTCTACATTACAGGTAGGGAAGGTGAGGCTCAGAGAGAGGGAGTGCTTGTCTGAGGGTCTCCTGTGGGTTGGGACCAGCTCTGGTCTGAGAGCCCAGGTTCCTTGAATTCCAGCTCACTGCCCTCCTCACCCAGCAGAGTTCCATAGACTCTAGATTGTTTGTGACTTCTACAAATTACCTGTGAGGTCTCTAACACATTGGCATGCCAATTGTGTTATAATTTGCTTAGTGGTTTCCCAAATAGATTTACTTGTTTTACTTAAATAAATTTATTTTTAAAGGAAGCTTCCTATAATGACCATAGATGGATGTCCACTATCACTTGTCAAGAATGGAAGGTTTATGGAGAAATAATTACAGAACTATTGATCTTTGAGCCACCCCCAAAGTCCCATGAAAGCTGCCAGTGTGACCTTCGCAAAGCCTTTGGAAATGCTGAATTTCAGCATAGTTGGAAAATATATGGAATTAAACAATTTAAGAATGATCTAGAGTGGAAGGTGTCAGGCTATCAGGGTTTAATTCTAGTGGTGGCATAGTGCCTAAGGCATTTGACTGTTAACCAGAAGACTGGAGGTTGAAACCCACCAGCCACTCCTCAGAAGGGAGGTTGGGCAATCTACTTCCGTAGTGATATTGCCTTGGAAACCCAAGGAGAGGCCACTATGAGTCGGGTCCGACTCAACGACAGTGAGTTTGGTTTGTTTTGGTTTTATTACTGAGGTAGTTTTTGCAGGTGATATATCTTTCTTCTCCCCTGGGTTTCATCTTCTATAAGGTGGGGCTGATATTTTCTGAGGCAGCCTAAGTGACACAGAAGATTAAGTGCTCAACTACCAACAGAAGGGTTCTCAGTTCGAACCCATCCAGAGGCACCTCAGAAGAAAGGCCTGGCAATCTGATTGCAAAAGATCACAGCCTTGACAACCCTGTGAAGCACAAGTCTATTGTGATAGACATGGGGTTGAAATCTACTCTGTTCCAGTTAAATATTACCTGCCTCACAATTGTGATGAATAGGGTTAAAAATAGCCTTGAAAATACATGAGGACCACAGGGGACTATCCAAGGTTAAGTATGATGGTTATTTTGGCCAGCACTGACTAAGAGTCTCCCTACTTGAGTGGAGCTGGGTCATGGAGCATAGGAAATAGACAAAGAAGTGACCAGGAGGCACTTACCCTGGGGCTGGTCATGTGGGGGCGTCTCCAGCCTGGAGGCTGTGGCTGTGGCTGGCTCGGTGCCCTCTCCCCCTGCCCCTTTGGTCCTGACCACATTGCTCTTCTCAGTGGGCCTCTTTAGGATTTCCTCGATGGAGAAGGAGAGGCCCAGCTTCTTGGGGGTGTCACAGCACCCCACGCTCTTCCTCTTCATGCCCCTGCAGGAAGCAGGGCCCACCTTGGCACTCTCTGTGGGTCCTGGGAGGAGGGATGGCAAGGGAGGGAGTTGGGCTTGGTGTGTGCCCAGCAAGAATGTTCCCTAGAACCTTTTGGGATCAAGAAGGGGAGCAGAGGTGGAGAACGAGGAGCCTCATGTTGGGGTGTCCAAACTGGAGTCTATCTCCTCAGGGACTTCCATGATTCATTTCACAATATCCTTAGATCAGGGCTGGAGATCACATCAGAAAAGGCTGGTCGGAAGGTTCTGTATACTGTGTCTATGGGCTCAAAGCCCTCACAAGCTAGATGCCAAGCCAGTCACCATTGCCAAATTGGGGTTCATCTTGCAGCAAAGAGTCTCCTTGCAGGCAGTTGTTTTCCAATCTCCAGCTCAGGCCCCAAACCCTGGGGTCAGTCCCCAGTGGAGAGCAGGATAGAGTGGGCAAGACCACAGTGGCTGGAAGGGAGAGAGTATCTGCCCCCAGAGAAGGCCAGGAGTCTGTGTGCCTACCTTTGCCCTTTCTCTCGATTGAGGTGTTTTCCTGCTGGCTCCGGCTGAGCCTCTAGAAGGCTGGAGCACCGCCCCAGGGCCCTGGTAGCCAGCTCAGTCCTTTGCCACCCCGGAGAGTGGAGGGTGTTCCTGGAAACTCTCCTGGCCTTTAGTTTGGTTGCTTCCAGACTCAAACACAGGCCTTCTGGCAAGCTTGTGCTTCTGCTGGGCTCCAGGTGGAGGCTAAGGAAGGGGCCTGATGGGTTGTTGACAGTCCATCCCCTTCTGGCGACAGGTCTGGGCTGAACAATGGTGTCAGAACCTTCCCAGACTTCACTTGTCTGGCCTTGACTTTCCTCTGTTCTGCCCTTTTATTCCTCTGGCCTCATTTCACAAGTTCATCTGTGGGCTCCTGGCATGCGGTGCCCCTCCTTTCCTTTTGGGGTCCTTTCTGCTTCTTTCCTGCTTACAGCCCCTTACCTGTGTGCCAGTGTGGCACTGAAGGACCCTGTCTTTCTGTCCAATAAACAGCCACTGAGAGCTGACCATGCGTGGTTGATCTGTCCTCGCTAGGAGTCCTGCTCCAAATGACTGTGTAACCAAGGAGGAGGGGACAGTAAATCAGGCTGATAAGAGAGGAAATTCTCCACCCTCCTGAGGGCCCAGAGGCAGGTGTATGTGTGTAGAAGGAGCAGGAAGTGGAGGGAATGGGAAGGACTGGCATGCAAGGCCCGGGAGTGGCCATGCTGGGGGACTGGAGCAGGCGGAGACCAGGTGGGAGCAGAGTGGCCAGGAAGTGTGTCTAGATCAATAACATGTGTTTACTCAGCTCAAAGAGTTTATGGATCACACAGAGGCTGGCGCTTGGGCTGGGGGCAGCCTCAGGTGTGCTGACATGAGCTTACAAATATCAGAGTAGGAGAGGTCTCTGAGGTCCATGTGGTCCATGTGGGGAAACAGAGGCCCAGATGCAGTGGTGTGATGGGTGTCATGGAAGGGCCTGATTTAAACACCCATCCAGGGAGCTCCAGGATGCCACGCTGGCCACATGGATCCAAATTGCATGAGAGTGACAGCTATCTTGGGAAGGACCCTGAGTAAGAATCTAAACATTAGAACCTAGACTTTCTCTTGGAGGGTCAGAGGGGGCAGGGCAGGGAGGGGAACCCCACCTCCTGAGTCGAATAAGTCAGGACAGTGAGAAACTCACTCAGAGGCAGGGAACAGAAAAGATCATGTGTTTTAGGAGCCATACCCCTCAGGAGTGTCAGGCTGTCTGATTTAATTAGAAGAGTCTAGGCTCTGTTTCAAGGAGCCATGGGTAGTGCAATGGTTACCATGCTTGGCTCTGTTTACCTAAAGGCTGGCTGTTCAAGTCCACCCAGAAGTGCCTTGGAACAAAGGTCTGGTGATCTACATTCGAAAAGCCAGGCTTTGAAAACCCTATGGAGCACAGTTCTACTCTGACACACATGGGATTGGCATGAGTTGGAGTTGACTCAATGGCAACTGGTGTTTTGGAGTCCTGGGTGGTGCAAATGGTTAATGTACTTGGCTACTAACCCAAAGGTTGGAAGTTTGAGTCTATTCAGAGGTGCCTCAGAAGAAAGCCCTGACCATCTACTTCCAAAACATCAGCCATTGGAAACCCTGTGGAGCACAGTGCTACTCTGACATGTATGGGGTTGCCACAACATTGATTAGGCTCTTCTACAATAACAAGTCAACCCTAAAATCTCAGGGCCTTCGTTACTCCCTCATGCCATAGTTGGGCAGGAGGGCCCTGCTCCTCACAGTCATCCAGGGCTCCAACCTCCTTCCAAACTGTGATGCTGTTGTCTTCATATCACAGGGTTCAAGTTTTCCAGGGAAAGGAAGAGCACAAAGGAAGGGATTTTTGACTCAGGAGCAGAAGTGGTGTTTTAGTCACTTCTGCTCGTGTTCTGTTGTCTCAGATGAGCCGCATGACCCTGCCTAGTGCTGAGGGCTGGGAAATGGCGTTTTCCTCTGTGGCTGGAGGACAATGGACCCATTTGGTGACTGCAGCAGAGTCCTGTCTTCCACCCTTATGGTCGGGAGGCTGGAGTCCTGGAGATAGCAAGGCCACCCTAGGCTGGCTAAAGGGTTGTTGTATGGGGAGGGGACTTTTCCTTTCCCTTAAGGACAGAAAAGGCTGTGACTGACGTTCAGAGTGCGTGGTCCAGGGAGGACAGATTGTGAAGGGTGAAAGCAGAGACACAGGCCTTCCTATATGCTGGGCCCTGGGCCAAGTGCTGGACACCCCCCACCTCATTTCACCCACGAAACACCCTATTCGTTAGATACCATTAATGCCAATTTGCAGAAGCTCTGATGGCAGAATGATTAAGTGCTTGGCTGCTAACTGAAAAGTTGGTGGTTCGAACCTACCCAGGAGCTCCATAGAACAAAGGCCTGACAATCTGCTTCCATAAAAATTACAACCTAGAAACCCCTAAAGGGCAGTGGTACTTTGTCACGTGGGGTCACCATGAGTCAAAATCTACTTGAAAGCACCTAACGACAGCAACGATGCCATTTTACAGATGAGGAGACACACTCATAGAGGTGGCTGACAACTATAAGGTCACACAGCTAAGGAAGAGAAGACTTAGGGTGGTTGTCAGCTGCCATACAGTTGGCCCTTGACTATGAGAGTCCCATGAACAACATGATCGGATCATTGTGAGCCACAGGGTTTTTGCTGGTTGATTTTCAGAAGTAGATTGGCAGGCCTTTCTTCCTGGTCTTAGTTTGAGAGCTCCACTGAAGCCTATTCGGTATCATAGCAACACACAAGCTTCCGCCAACAGATGGGTGGTGGCTGAACCTGAGGGGCATTGGTTAGGACTCAAACCCGAGTCTCTTGCATGTAAGGTGGGAATTCCACCACCATCTTCTCAAAGGCAGACTACGTGGGCTCTATAGCCAGTGTCCCTACCACTTCACCATAATACCCAGAAGCCACCTGGCCCAACCCTGTCATTTTACAGATGAAGAAACTGAATCCCAGAAAGAGAAGTTTCCGGAGTTACACTTGCTGCTTTTAGTGCCTCATTCATTTTCCTTTTATTTTGCCTCTCTTGGGTAAGACTGGCTCCTGGGAAGGTTAAAACACACCTTGTGGTGTGCAACAAGAGATCTCCTCTCCTTCCAAACTGTCTCCTCGAGGTTAGCCAGAGCTCTGGCCTTCTTGACTGCAATCTTTTAGTTATTCGCTTACATATACATTGTACAAATGTTTCTTGAGCATCTACTATATGCCAAAGGCTGGAGAGATGCAGATGAATGAGGCACAGATCCTGCCTGGAGGGGTTCACCTTCTGGAGTAGGAGTAATGGGAGGAAGGGAGAAGATGGGTACAGATGTCACAGTTCCGCAAGGTGGGAAGAGGCCAGTGGTCACTGAGGGAATCAAGTAGGAGTTAGGAGTATTGTTGTGTCTTTTTGGATCAAAGAAAACTTTGTAGAGGAGGAAGGTCAGAAGAAGGAGAGGGCATCATACACAAGTCGTCTTTGTGAGTCATCTCATTCAATGTATTCTAAAACAAGCAAACAGACAAACCTGGGAAGGCAGATATTTCAGCCTCATTTTATAACGAAGAAACTAAGGTTCAGAGATTTAAGTAACATCCTCTGGGTCTGAAAGCTGGGTAGGGGTAGGGCTGACAAACCAGGTGAGTTCATATGCCTTGCTCTTCCTGCTGTTGTTGTTATGTGCCCTTTTCCTGTTGTTGTTGTTATGTGCCGTCAAGTCGGACCCAACTCATAGCGACCCTTCCTTGGGTTTCCAAGGTGGTATCACTACAGAAGTAGATTGCCCAACCATCCTTCCAAGGAGTGGCTGGTGGGTTTGAACTGTCAGCCTTCTGGTTAACAGTCAAGTGCCTTAAGTACTACACTACCAGTTGCTCTTCCTAGTGTAGTCTAAGACCCTCAGAAATAGAATTCTGAGTTGGGTGTTGAAGAATGAGCAGGCTGCGTGGTGATAGCAGTATGAGCAGAGACTTGTAGTAGGGACATGTTGAGGCATTCATGGTACATGTTATGGTTGAATTGTGTCCCCTCAGAATATGTGTTGGTGTCTTGACCCCTACACTTGTGGATGTAACCCTATTTGGAAACAAATTTTTCTTTGTTATGTTAATGAGGCCATATCAGTGTACATGTATCCTAAACCTCATTTGAGGTATAAGGAGCCCCTCGGATGCAGAGACAAGTGAGCACAAATGGGAAGATAGATGCCACATGAAGATTGCTAAGGAATGCAGGGATGCTGGGCCTATGGAAGCTTAAGGAGACAAGGATCTTCCCCCACAAACAACAGAACCAGTGCTTTGCCCTAGAGCTGATGCCTTGAATTCAGTATTTTAGGTTCATAAATTGTGAAAAAATAAGTTTCTGTTCTTTATAGCCAAGCACTTGTGGTATTTCTGTTAACAGCAGTACTAGAAAAGTAAGACACACACTGAATAATTTTATTTATAG